CCCTGCCTGGGTTCCAGAGAACGCCGCGGCACAGCCGCCGGCGCGTCATGGCCCTTTCTTCAAGTATTTGGAGCCTCTGAAACGGAGGTTCATTGAATGGCTCGCATTCTTGGCTTCAAGGGCGAGGGCCCAAGTTCCTCCAATTCAGGTGTGGTGGCCCCTGCTTTGGAAAACGGATATTGACCAATTTGCGCGCCCAATGTCTTGTCCGGCTCTGGCAGCCTTCGGCTGGCCAGATCAGCGAGACGACCTCCATGAACCGATGAACGGTTGGGAGAGATGGCAGCACGCGATGACCAGGCAAAACGTTTTCGTCCCGACACTTCAGACGATAGCCGATCAGGTAGCCATGGGAAGTCCTTGGATGCCTGTGCAGCAGGACGATGCCGCAGACGCCGCAGGGCAAAGCCCTCGCGGACGTCTATCGGTTGCATGGGAAAATAGCCTTGAGGCAAGACCGAGTCGTGATTCTCGTTCTAGCACTAGGCGAGCAAACCAGTGTCGCGACCATCGCTCATAGCACCGATGCTGCAACCTGCCTCTGGCGAAGCCGCGACGGCAGATGCAAACTTGCAGGTCGCCTTTGACTTCGCCGCCATCAGCGGGCCTAAGGCCGCGCTGATAACTGACGGGGCGATCAAACTTGATCATCCCAACGGATATTCACATAAACATTGTGAGGGCAGTTCAATACATATATCTTTGACTGGGATTGAGGCTAGAGCGTTAACAGCTCAACATGTCATTGAATACACAAGTGTTCGCTCAAATGCACATGATCCCGACAGGTTGCGACTGTCAGGGGAAACACAACATGAAATCCCAGATGTCGTGAGGAACGTAGTTGAAGGGAGCTGGATGGCCCCTGTGCCACACATGCAACTTGGTCTTCGCATTATAAGAGTGGTTGCTATCGTTCGCGAGATCATGGGCTCCTTTCTTTCAGATGGACATTTTGTTGACTACCCGGGGAGAACAATTCTTACTGCGGGGGGGGGGCGCATATGATGTTCATTATAAGCGACGGAGGGATGCATCTGCCCTTGACTGTCGCATCCGCGCTGCGGTTCAGGCGGGCGACCTCGTTGGAGAGTGGGCCCGTAATTGAGGTGGACAGGTAAGGGCGGACATTCGTCGCCAGGGTTCATTGTTACAGGAGGCCATTTATAGGCTTCAACACAGGTATGTAGATGCCAACACGGAGCTCCAAGATAAGGGTGCAGGCCCGTTTCGTAATGCATGCGGTAAATTGGGCATTCCTGTAGCTACTGCTGCTAGGAATTTGCTGAAGTTCATTGGCGATCGAGAGCAGAATGTTCGTGAGGGTGGAAGTGCCAGTGGGCCCCCCGACAGCCAAGCTGGTTCGGTGGGGCCGAGGCGACCACAGGATGCGGCGAAAGCGAGACCGCGACAGCCACCTCCGCCGCGCAGACCCGACGTCTCAGACGCTCGGGCTGGCGACGAAGTTACCGAATCCCCATGCTCTGCCAGCGGCACAGCCGTCTCGGCAAGAGAAGAATACTCGTGGTACTCTGACGCGCGGGATTGGTCGAGGCCCCGGCGCGCGCGCGATGGAGCCGTGGATGTCGGCCGGGGCGCTGCTGGCTACGACCCGCTCGTCTCCTACCCGCGCTATGCAAGCGACGTGCAGGTCGGATGCTACGTCCATCGGGATCGGCTCTGGCGGCTGTCCAACGATGTCTGGTGGTCGCAGACGTGGCACGTCCCGTCTCTGGCCGAACATGAGTTTCGCTTCCCGCCGAAGGGGAAGGCGACCAAGAACAAAGACAAGCACTACAGATCAGCGTGCTACGCTGGCTGTGGCAAAGGGAGGTCCCGTTCGCCTCGTGGCGGCGAGGGGCAGACAGGAGGCTCGGCGTCATCATGCCCGAGGCCTCCGACGCCACCGACGGGGGAGTACAACCCATTCGAGGGCCTGGATTGAGTCCGGCCCGCGTGACTTAGTCGCTGCAGGCGTATGCAAGATAATATCCGCCGCGCGACGAAGTCGTGCCGGACGAATGAAGCAGCTCTGCCGATCGACGACGTCGAATCGGCGGAGAGAGTTTATTTATCTGATGTTGGGAGTCGTCGGGCCTCTTCGGCCCTTAGCCCCCTGGCAGCCACCGTTGAGCCGTAAAATTCTTTTGCGGTTGGCTCCGGTGGTTGTGTATATGTGCAGGCCAGGGGTGCTGTGGCTGGATGGGCTCTACGAGCCCCGCCGCGGGCGGAGTAAATGTGCTCCTCTCCGCCTCATCCTCATGCTGCTTATCGTATCGCTTGTCTTGCTTCGCACTGTATGACTATGATTGCGGTAACCTTCCGCAACTGTGTGTTTGCTCACAGGAGATAAAAGGAGCGTGCTGGCTTGCACGCGCGCGCCGAGGGGTCGTCCCCTCGTCGTAATCGTGTCGTCGGCCGGCCGGCCTCCTCACTTACTATTCCTGATAGAGTACATTTGCTTACCGGTTACTTGTCTTATCGATGTCTCATCCCGTACCCTCTTCCACTGAGCAGAGTGAACATGAGACCTTAATTCCTTTGTCCTCTTACCCCGATTCTCAGAGGAAAGACAAATCAGCACGGCGCAGCACAGCACATATTTCGGCACGGTACATCAATATCGATACACTCAGCATTGCAACTTGGCACGTTTCTTGGCACGTTCCGTGGGGCGTCCCTTGACGAGCCCCCGTGGCACGTCGCGTGGCGCGTCCCTTGGCACATCCCGTGGCATATCCATTGGCACGTTCCGTAGCGCGTCCCCTTGGCACGTCCCGCGGTGCGTCCCCATGACATGTCCCCTGGCACGTCGCCTGGCGCATCCCTTGGGGCGTTTCGCGGCGCGTCCTCCTGGCATGTTCCCCTGTCCATCAGCTCTACGGCAGCTACTATGTGTTCAGGCAGCTCGGGCTTAAGATCCAGATCAGTTCGGTCAGGACTCGGATGCAAAGGAGGACTCGATCCACGACGCTATAGAGCACACTCGCGCCATGGCACATCGCAATTCAGCACGGTGCAGCACAGCACAGCACAGTCCCCGTGGCACGTCGCGCGGCGCGTCCTCTGGCACGTCCCGCGGCACGTCCATGGCACGTTCCGTAGAGCGTCCCCTTGGGACGTCCCGCGGTGCGTGCCCATGGCACGTCCCCTGGCACGTCGCCTGGCTCGTCCCTTGGGACGTTCCGCGGCGCGTCCTCCTGGCATGTCCCCTCAGCCGATTAGTTTTTTGGCAGCCAGCATCTGCTCAGGCAGCGCGAGCTTAAGATGCAGATCAGTTCGGTCAGGACTCGGATGCCAGGGAGGACTCGATCCACAACGCTATATAGAGCACAGTCGCGGCATGGCGCATCGCAGTTCAGCACGGCGTAGCACAGCGCAGCCCTCGGCACAGTACATCAAGATCGATACACTCAGCATTGCATTTGCCCGTCGCCCAATAAAGGTGTCTTTGAAACGTTGCCATGCCTTACATTTCTGTTCCTTTCCGGGTTCGTGGGTCGATCATTTCAATCCGGAAGCGTTCGGCACTTCGCAGCCAGCCCGGGAACAGCGAGATCCTTTTTGGATCCACGATGTTCCGCGCTGCGCTGTCCCTCCCAGCAGCCTTCGAAAGTGGCGGTTTCACACTTCGCAGCCCTGCGCCGCCGAGCTGCCAGACAGGACGGCAAGACAGGGCGCATGCAAACAGGCAGGTCAGCCAGGCGAGCGAACAGGGGAGACAGGAGAAGGGGGTAGGCGGGACGGGGGCGAAGGAGAAACAGGTGTAGACCCAATCGCCCTATTCAAAGCGAGGATCCAGCCACGGCTTGGTGGGGGAAAGCCCCGAATGCGCCCAAGAGGTCCAATGAACAGACCGAGAGACCTCTAAGAGACTCGCAGGAAACCTTCCGTAATTTACAATGTAGGCTCAACTGTTTCAGGAAGCCCTCCGTAATTACAACGTCCAGCGACATTCGGATTCAAAGTGTTTCAAAGCAGCGATGAACTCATTAATCGTGGCTCTTTTACCGATTGGTGTATTTGGATCATGCCCCTTCATGGACATTGGCACTCCTCCAAGTTTGAAGGCAGAAGTCATTTCTGACAGTGACTTCAAGACAGCCCTAGAAGGGCTAGACATTGAGGCACTTGAGCAGGACCTCAGAGTCCTCATGACAGACAGCCAGACTTGCTGGCCAGCCGATGATGGCCATTACGGTGGTTTTATGATTCGCCTAGCGTGGCATTGCGCTGGCACCTTTCGCACATCTGATCAGAAAGGGGGCTGCGGAGGTGCCAGAATCCGCTTCCCACCAGAGTCAGATTGGGAGGGCAATGGTAACCTGGATAAGGCCCGTGCCCTTCTCGTTCCTATCTAGTGGCCTTCGGCCCATCCGCCGCCGTGCCTTGGTGAGGGGTCAGAAGCCTCATGGATGTTCGTTGGGATCTTGTGGTTGGCGTCTTGAGGGCCTCTGGGAGGCAGTTTCGAAGCCTCTTGGGGCCTCTAGGGGGCCTCTTGGGGGCCTCTTGGGGCCTCTTGGGGGCCTGTTGGGGGCCTCTTGGGGCCTCTTGGGGGCCTCTTGGGGGCCTCTTGGGAGCTTCTTAGGGAGCCCTCGGGGCATCTTGGGGGCCTCTTGGGGCGGAGGGCTCAAATGTTCGCGCTCGGGGGCCGCGATCTTCGTGAGGGGTGCCAAACAAGTTGCCCTCCCAAAGTCACGCGAGAAGCCCGGGGCCGACGCGGCGAGCCCCACAAGATTTCGTAAATTTGGCTCTGGTCCCCTTAAATGCTCAGGACTGAGGACTGGGATTCAGGCAACGAGGCTCTGGGGAGGAGGCGAAGGACCTGAGGGCGCGCCCACTCCGTGCCTCAGGGCACGGTGACGGATCAAGCAAAAATATGGCGATGCTCTCAGTTGAGGTGACCTCATCAGTTTTGCTGGTACCGTTGCAATCCGGGACATGGGAGGCCCAACAAATCCGCACTGTTTTGGACGAGTCGATGATGCAGATGGTAACAGGAGTGACATTTTTGGCGTCACAGATAGCTGGCAAGATACGGACTGCGTTGTGCAAGGAAATTGCCAGGAGCCCATGGGTGCGGTGAAGGTTGGTTTGATCTATGTGAACCCTGAGGGGCCTTTGAACGACCCGAACGATCTGAACAGTGGGCAAAACCCAGATCCAGAGAAGAGTGCCGTCGAGATTCGGGAGGTGTTCGGCCGCATGGGGATGGTCGATTCTGATAGACATGCTTGAACCCTGAGTGGGTCATGATCTGAACAGTGGGCAAAACCCAGATCCAGAGAAGAGTGCCGTCGAGATTCGGGAGGTGTTCGGCCGCATGGGGATGAACGATTCTGAGACAGCTTCGCTGATAGCAGGTGGTCATGCTTTCGGCAAGTGTCATGGTGCCGGCGTTATGACGAGTGGCTTCGAGGGGCCGTGGACGACAACTCCTTCTCAATGGACCAACCAGTTCTTGACTGGAATGCTTGATGAGGAGTGGGAGCAAGTCGCAACTCCATCTGGGTCGGCGGTGCAGTGGCAGACGAAGGACAGGACCAGCATCTTGGCTGGAACCATGCGTCTGACAGCAGACTTGGCTCTTGTGAACGATGATGCGTACCTGGCGTTAGCGAAACATTGGGTATGTGACCAGCAGAAACTTGACATAGCGTTTGCCGCGTCTTGGAAGAAGCTCGTGGAGTCTGGCGGTGGATGGTTGCCCGTGGAAGACAGGAGGTGTGAGCCTGAGTCCAAGGCGACGGGGCAGCAAACAGACCCCCAAAAGAATTTCCATTCGGTGTGCGCCACGACGACCACTGATGATTCACAAGAAGCCAGCACTGCCACTAAATTCTGTTTGTCGTTTTTGGCGGTGGTTTTCACCCCGTTCAGCCTTGGCGTGCACTCCTGGCTTGCGTAGACTTTCGCGCTTGTATAGTGTATGGGTTCCGATGGAGCGAACGCGCATGTGCGGGTTTTCACGATAACTTTAGTAATGGCGAGCTCCGTGGCACAGGCTGCGGGCATTTGCGGCGCCGACTTTGAGTGCTGCTCGCCTCGTTTCGACGGTGAATCGTGATTCGAACAACTTCGGGCGACTGGGCCCCAGCGAGTGTCGTGAAAAGAGCGTGCTTTTTCAAGACTCCTGATGGGGACTTCCGCCCGACCCCCTCTTGTGGTTGGCCCCTCCCCTTAGCTGCACTGCATAAATAATTTTTTTTGTTTTTGGAGCCTGCGCGCGACCCGTAGCCCAGCGGTGGATGCCCGCCAGGCCCCGACAATGCCGTCTGGCACTCGAATCATGGTTGATTTGGTTGAGCCAGTTCGAGCTCCAGCAACCTTGAAGCTGGCATGCCTCTGGCGTGAATGCGACGTGGTGTGATAGGGAGTCGCACGAAAGCGCAACCATGCGCGAACATCACGTAGCACGTACCGCAGGATCAATTGCACACGTCATTTGCAAGTTTGTGTTGTTCGGTAGCTTGCGTGACACCTATATAGATGTGCATATACATATGTGCATATGTACACACATACATACACATATAATGAGCAGGGGGTCCAGGGGCCCCCAAAGTGCACTGATTTGCCTTCCGGCCGTTTCGGTCCCGGCGAGGGGCGCCAAAAACGCCAAAGGGGGCCGAGTGACGTCCAAGAAGGCACCAAGATGGCCCAAGAGCACCCCAAGAGAGCCCAAGACCGCACAAGAGCGTCGTACCCAGGAGGGTTCCAAGTCGGCCAAGATGCCCTCAAAAGGACTCCCACGAGGCATTCAAGAGGCGAAAAAGTATGGTTCTCTTGCTGACTGGGTTTGAGGTTGTTCGTGTTCTCGCTGTTTCGTGCTTCCGACGGTCCACGAGGCCCCAGCAATCAGCTCGAGACGGCCTGAGAGGCACCCAAAGAGTGCGCCACGACGGCGCAAGAGAGTCCCAAGACGGCCCAAGAGTGCCCCAAGCCGGCCCAAGAGGCGCCCAAGATCGCCCAAGAGGGCCCCAAGACGGTTTTAAGACGGCCCCAAGAGGGGCCCAAGAGGGCGAGCACGACTCGACAATTCGAGCCTTCCACCCCAAGAGGCTTCCAGGAGGCCCCAAGAGGCCCCCAACAGAGCCCAAGAGGCCCCCTAGAGGCCCCACGAGGCCCCAAAGGGGCCCCGAAAGACGCTCCACGAGTATCCGTAGCCATTTTGGCTCAAGGTGGCTCTGACTGCAGCGCGCAAGCGCTCATCATAGTCGCCCGCCATCACCATGCGGACCCTGCGACCAGGCCTCTGGGGCCCGAGGCGGCCCACTTTTCCGACTCCCCCCGCGGTGCCCACTGTGTCCCTCGGGGCCCGGGACTCATTGCGGGCCTTCGGGGGGCTTTCGGAGGGCCCGAAGGCGCTGAGATAACCCCAAGATCGCCGCGCGACATCCCAAAAAGGCGTCCAAGACGGCCCAAGAAGCCCGCAGGATCGCTCCAAGACGTCCCACAGAGCCCTCCAAGACGGCCTCAGTAGGCGCCTGTGGATCCCAGTGCGCTCTGAGACAGTCCAAGAGGCCCACAAGACACCCCACTCCGCACCCCTCCCCGCTCCTCCCAGATCGTTCCCATTCCAGGCAAGTTTGCGCGAGGCGGTTGCGTCTCTGGCCGCGAGATCCTGCCAGTTAATACCTACATGTACGACCACCCTTCGGGTGATGAGGAGGTTGTGTGTGTGTGTGGTGAAGGGGGGGGAAGGGGGCCAACTGGAGCTACAACATAGCATTGCATCGCATAGCAGAGCATAGCATTGCACGGCATCGCATAGCGCAGCATAGAAGAGAATGGCGTAGCATAGCATAGCATAGCATAACATCGCATAGCATAGCATCGCATATAATAGCGTACCATCGCATCACACAGTATGGCGTAGCATAGCATAGCATAGCATAGCATAGCATAGCATCGTATCGCATATACACAGAACGGCGCACCGGGCCCGGTGGCCGAGGGCCGGAACCTCGACCGCAAATGTGGGCCCCAGGGCCCGGGCCCGCCCTTTGGGAAGCTTAAAATCGCCCCGGGGAGCCCTCAGACAGCAAGCCGGGCGGCCCCAGACGGTCTCGAGACACCCCCAAGACGCCGTCCAGGGGTCTTTGGCGACGCACGATGCGTTTTAAACTGCCCCGGAGGCTCCCTAGACGCCCCAAGAGGCCTTCAAGATGCCGCCCAACGCCCCGAGAGGGCAACTCGTTGATTTTCATTGTTTTTTAAATGTTATTTTTGCATTCTCGCTGTTTCGTGTTTCCAGCGGTAAAGCACCGCCCAAGAGGCTCCCAAAACCGTTCCAAGACGGCCCAAGAGGCCCCCAAGAGGGCCCCAAGACGGCCCAAGAGAGCCCCGAGACGGCTCCAGAGCCGCCCAAGACGGCGCAAGAGGGTCCCAAGAAGGCCCCAAGAGGGGCCCAAGAGAGGGAACGCGAACTGAAAAAACAAGCTTTTGGCCCAAACATGCCCCCAAGAGGCCCCAGAGGCTCCAGGAAGTCCCCCAGGAGGCCCCTAGAGGCCCCAAAGAAGCCCAAAAACAGGCTCGAAGAGAAACCTCGAGACGGGCCCAGGAGCTGCATAGCCGCCATCCTTCGCTACGCGCATCCTTCAAGCTAGCCTAGAAATTTGACGCGCGCGTGCGATATGGCGCGGCGCGAGGTTCTTTTTATACTTCGTCTGCATGGCCTCATTCTCTTCCGCCGAAACTATGGCTTTTCCCTCCGCCGAGCCCACGACGCCTAGTCTCCAAAACGCGATCCAGCGCTCCTGGGTCCACGCTCATGGGTAAAGCACCATGGGTCCGCGCTCCGAAGCCACGATCCCTAGCCAAAGAAATAATACATTATACACCGCCACTGATGCCACGTTTCCGAATAACGAACCATGGATCCGCGCTTCTGAGGCCACGAACACTTGTAACAACCTACGTGTCCACCACTTCCGTAAGTTCCTGGGAGGCCCAGCGGAGTGACGCCCCTCGGGGACCCGAAAGGGGCCTCGCCAGGTCCGCAGATGTCGCCGCTTTTGTAAGCTCCTGGGAGGTCCAGCCGAGAGACGTCCCACGCCAGCCCAGAAAAGGGACCTCGCCCTCCCTGGGGGCTGCCAACTGCGCAACTGCCCTGCCTGGGTGCTGCCACCTGCGCAGCTGATCGCCACTTCCGTGAGCTGCCATTATCGGACGCACGCCGCAAATCGGCACAGAGGTTCACATCCCATGGAGCATGGATCCCATTCGACCTCCCATCCTCTCTCCATCTTGGGGGCCCTGGGGGCTCCGCCCCCTCGGGGATTTGCAGCCCCTCCCCCCCCTCAGCCTCCTACCATCAACGCTCCGCCAGTGGTGGATGAGAAATGCGGCTCCCAAGCCAGAAACGCAACTTCGATGCTGGCTACTTGCTCGAAATCTGCGGGACCCGCAACCTACGAGCCTTCAAGGTATTGCTAGTCTATGCGGTCGGATTGCAGTACCTGACGCTGCAGCGAGAGCACCCATATTGGCCGCGATCCCTGAACGTGCCATTCCTTTCGTGAGGGGTAAGACTAGGCAGAGGATTTCATATTTGGAAATGTTGTATATGCAGAAAACAGCGGCTGCCACGACGAGTTGTCGCATCGAGATGTTGGGAGCATCGAGATGTTTCACAAGGCATGTAGGAGGAGGAGGAGGATGGAGGGAGGAGGGAGGAGGTTCTCAGGAGGAGGAGGGAGGAGGACGGAGGAGGAGGAGAGGAGGGAGCAGGGAGGAGGATCCTAGGAGGAGATACTGCTTGCAAGTCTACCTCTGCTTTCCCCGGCCCCTGGCTTTCTGTGTGGGGGAGGCAGGGGGGGGAGGGCTCGGGCGAGTTCTTGCCACACTCCTGGGGAGATCTCTGCCGGCGTCATCTGTCCCAGACCCAGATTATTCCCAGTCTCGGGCGGATCCGAAGGGTGCTTCGGCAGAGGGGGCCGCCCCTTGGCCGTGGCCAAGGCGCCGGCGGTTCTAAAGCTAGTCGACGTGGGCCTTCTTGGGGACAGAGAAGGAAATAGCCTGCTTCATTTTCTGTTTGCGCGGCAACCATCCATGTTGCCGCTTCCTTGCGTGTTCATATATCCAGTTGGGTGGCTGCATGCGTCGAGCATTCTGAGCAGTTCTTGGGTCTAGTGCTACAAGTTCTTGGGGCAGTGCATCTTCTGATGGGTGTTTTGTTTGCCTCTGCGGCTTTGCATTCCGCGTGCGAGCTTCTCTTTGGTAGCGTTTGGCTGCTACAGGCGTCATTTTTTTTTTTTGCTTGTTTTTCTCCTCCTTATATATATATATATATTATAGACGTATGCGTATATTTACATACATATATAGATATAAATATATATATATATATGTTTCCTTCCCTCTTGTCTCCTCTCTCCCCCGAGGTCAGACAGCCCCTGATTATATCTATGCGCGTCTTCGTGAACGCATGTGCTCTCCTGCGTGCTTCTGGCGCCGAGGGTCGCCGCGGGGAGTTGCGCGTGGCTGCTTCGCCGCTAGCCGAAGCCGCGGCATATTGATTGCATTCGACAGCAGCGGTCGGCTGGATTCGGTGCTGGGGGGGCGGCACGAGCGGGGGGGTCGCCAACTTTTAGATCTCTCCAGTCGCGGCCGCCGCCGCCGCCGCCACCCCCCGCGCGCGACGCGGCAACTCTTGGAGGAAGGCGCGTGGCCTGAATCTGCTGCTGTGTCTTCTCATGCGCTTTTTGATTGCTTCCGCGGTGCGGGCCTGCGCGGCCTCTGAGCTTCTGTCGCAGCCCCCGCCGCGCGCCTCTAGCAGCTCCGCCTTCTGGAGATTGATGGGCACCTTCTTTCATTGCCTGTCCATATCGACCATGCCAGCGTCCGCGACGGCGGCGCAGCGTTCGCCCTCTTCGACGCGCCCGCCGCCTTCCCTCGGCAATCTCG